TTTTGTAATTGGGGAATTTTTATATCGAGCAAATTGAAATTGGTTTTCTTTTAATTAATTGCTGCGGTTATATTCTCCGCGTATTTTGGTGACAATCTCACTGGGTATATGGCCAGAAAAACTCGTATGTCGCTTGGGTGTCGTACTCGGCTGTGATCGGGACTAGTACGACCCAGGCAGAGACCAACGTGAGAGCATTTTTCCGCGTGCCAGAATTAATATCTCGAGTGCCGTTGAAAAGTTTACATACCTCATAAATTCCTTAGAAGGGCCCCCATTGAGCATTGTACAGTGCAATCCTTTAACTGAAGGTAACTATATCATTGCTTATAAGACATTGACTGAGCGCTATGAGAACTCTCGCTTGATTTCTGTCAGTCATTGGCGTGAAATAGAAAAAATAAAACCCCTCCAGAGTGAAACGGACGTGAAGGCCCTGCAGTCATTATTAGATATATTTTCCGAACATTTATCAGCCCTCGACTACTTAGGTCATCCTACTAAACAGTGGGACTTTGTTCTCTTTTACATGCTATTCGATCGTTTAGATTCAAGCACTGCAACTCGATTTGAGCTGGAATGCGGAAACTCTTTAGATGATATTAACTACAAAAACAAACATTTTGAAGTTTTGTTAAACTTTCTCAAAAAACAATGCGTTGCTCTAGATACTGTCTCCCACTCTTCTGATTCCAAGATAATGGAAAAGGAAAAACCCTCTAAATCGCAGAAAAGAACCTTTCTTTTAAATTCTGACTCCTCCAATTGTCCAGTTTGTCATAAACGAGGCCATTTAATTTATAGTTGCCCAGAGTTTTTAGAAAAGGATTCTGCTAACAGATATAACTTGGTAAAGATCAAAAACTGGTGCACTAATTGCCTAGGTTTAAAACATACAACATTCAAATGCTCATCTCGTGTACGTTGTGGAAAATGCTCAAAGCCACATCATACTTTATTACATCATGATAAACAGCTCAGCCCTGATCATAATCCTTCCACCAGTTCAAATAATTTTATTAACAAATGTGATGCAGGAACACAGTCAGTTGCTTTAACGAACATTGATTCTAGCCCTGATGGTAGAGATTGTTCAGTTCTTCTAGCTACCGCTCAAATCAAAGTTTTAGACTCGCTTGGTTACTACAGAAATGTTCGAGCTTTACTTGATAGTGGCTGTCAAGTGAACTTCATAACATCTAAATGTTCTAATAGGCTTGGACTTACTCGAAAGCCTCTCTCACTTTTTGTAAAAGGCTTAGGAAATACCACCTCGAACGTTTCTCAAGAGGTTACTTGCACGTTTATCCCTCGAATGTCCAGTGAACCCCGAATAACCCTTGATTTTGCAGTTATACCCCAAATTTGTGATAACATGCCCAGCTCTGATTTACCGGATGTTAGCTTTAGTAAATTTTTCCACTTAGACCTTGCCGATGATAAATTTAATATTTCAAGTCCCATTGACATGCTTCTTGGTTGCGATGCATTTGGATTTCTCTTTAAGGAAGGCTCTATTTCTCACTCTATCAATGAACCTGTGGCTATTAATACACATCTGGGTTGGATTATTACAGGTCGAGTACCAACATCACCACCAACTCTCTCAAACAATACCCTTTGTTGCACCTCTACACTTTCATTCGAAGAGGTTGTTAATAAATTCTGGCATCTCGAACAGATTCCTCAAATAAACGCCCACTCCCTTGAAGATCTGGCTGCAGAAAAAATCTTCGTTGAAACTTACTCTCGAGATAATACTGGTCGATACATTCTTCATCTCCCGTTTAAATTCTCTTCTCTACCGGTATTCGATCATTCAAGAGACATTGCCTTACGTAGGTTTTATTCACTTGAACGACGACTCTTGCATAATCCAGAACTCCGCAAAGAATATAACCTATTCATGCAAGATTATTTGTATTCCGGTCATATGGAACTTGTTAAACCTTTGCCACATACTAATCATCAATACTATATACCTCACCATTGTATACTTAGACCTGAAAGTGTAACTACTAAACTTCGCGTTGTCTTTGACGCTTCGGCAAAGACAGCTAATAACTTATCTCTTAACGACTGTTTGCTAGTTGGCCCCAAACTTCAACAAGATATATTCTCTCTACTCCTCCAATTTCGCACTCACTCTGTCGTTATTACGGCCGATATAAAGCAGATGTTTAGGCAGATACTGATGTCGGAACCTCACAGAGATTATCAGCGGATTGTCTTCAGATTCTCCAAAGACGATCCTATTCAAGATTATAGGCTTAATACTGTCACTTACGGAATCTCTTTCTCCCCCTTTCATGCCATTAGAACTTTAATCCAATTGGCTCAGGACCACGAAGATCAATTTCCTCGAGCTTCAAAGGTTATAAAAACCAACGTTTATGTTGATGACATATTGTCAGGTGCTGATTCTGTCGAAGCAGCTTTGAGCCTTCAAAAGGAATTGATCGATCTCCTTGCCTTAGGGGGTTTTCAACTCCGGAAATGGGGTAGTAATAATCCCCTTCTTATTTCAATATATTAATTTTTAATTTTAAGCTTAGAATTCGCGTGGGTATCGGAATTGTTATTACGGTTTTTGTTAATTATTTTCTTTTTTTTGGATTCATTAATAAAATGTTGCTATTTTAGGTGGGCGGTATGTTCCGTCCAGTCGGAATTGTTTTGTTTTATTTTTTCTCTTTAATTTTTGTAGTTGGGGAATTTTTATATCGAGCAAATTGAAATTGGTTTTCTTTTAATTAATTGCTGCGGTTATATTCTCCGCGTATTTTGGTGACAATCTCACTGGGTATATGACCAGAAAAACTCGTATGTCGCTTGGGTGTCGTACTCGGCTGTGATCGGGACTAGTACGACTCAGGTAGAGACCAACGTGAGAGCATTTTTCCGCGTGCCAGAATTAATATCTCGAGTGCCGTCAAGTATTGCGAAATTGTGCCGGTCAACAGCCAGAGCTACATCAAGGTAGGCCAAGAAGAAAAGAGATTGTCATTTTTCGTCTCGTTACATCAATATATTATTTTTTGAATCGCCCCGTTATTTCTAGCTTCAATTAAACAAAAAATTAGTCCATTGCTCTTTCTCGTCCACATATAATATTCATTCAAAAGATTGCTTATCTAAATACTAATTAATATTATATTATTATATATATTATAAATAATATATATTAATTAATATTAATAATTATTTTAATTTTCCAATTTGAAACGCTTTGAAAATTTTTAAATTTTTATTTTTTAGCCAACTTCTCGACCACAGTATGGCTCTTTATCAAGAATCTAAAATATATGTAAATGTAATATAAATTAAATATTTTATGTAACAATAATATACAATAAATAATTAATAATATTAAAATATTTCAATTTATATTGATATTAATGTTTGTTTATATTTATCATGTGTTGCTAAAAGTGTATTGAATGATTGTTTTAATTTTAACTGTAAATTATTATTATTATAAGAAAGGTGGTTTAAATTTTAATTTAGATTGTTAAGTTGTGGTAATGAATGAAATAAATTAATTGTTTCTCTTTGATTACTTATTTCTTTTAAAAGACGAATAAAGAGCTTATTTTAGCAACACGAACACGAAAAAAATCCAAATATTCATTGTTTCGTGTTTGTACTTATTGATATATGTTCATTTCATTGAAAACAATATATAAGGTATGGATATATATTTATATAAAATATTTTAGTTATAATAATAGTATAGTATATAGTAAGGAATTGTGGTATAATTGAAATTAAACAGCCTTACAACCTGTTTAGGGTAGTCTAGAATTTGAAAGAATGGCAATAGTCCGCGTTTTAATTTAAAATTTTTCGCAAACTGCAGTTCAATATCTTCGTACAACTTGAGTTTTTCCCACATTAAACTTTTCTGTTTTCTAATGTTTTAGGTTGGGAAATGCGTTATATAGGAGCCGTCAGTGAAAACTAGCAAGAACAGAGGTTGATATGAAATATTTTTTTTTACTGACTGGTAGCGAGGAATTAGTGAAGTTTGTTTTCGTTAGTACGAATGTCGACATATTCATACTAATTTTGAAATACTTTGAACACTACAGCTCAACACCAACTACTGATGCATCGAACTAAACCAAAAAATAATTATAAAAGGGCAGGCCAGGCATGTGCTATGACAATGTGAACGCCTATTGAAAATATGTTTTCACCTACTTTTTACAAAACTTCTGGATTCTTCCTGCGTCGGTTTTGGCTTAGTCGAAATTGCTGACGTTTCGCCAATCATCCTGTTGGCTTGTTCAGAGCTTGAATGAAACTGGCTCGCATTTTACTCTGTACCTGCTTATATATTAAACACCGTCTCGGATGACTGATTCCCAGATTGGGGACAGGTAGAGGCCTGAGTTGCGATTAAGATTGTTAGGTTGTTTATAGATTTCTATAGACTTTCGGATTTTTCGTGGGTAGAAAAACTGATTATATGCAAGAATTTTATTTTATCAAATAAAATTTTATGCCTGGTTTCATGAGTGTGTTCGGCAACAGCTGATGAGTTTATTTGTCTTAGTCGTAAGGCTCTTTCGTGTTCTTTGAGCCTAGTTGGCGTCTCAAATGGAATTTTGTCTTTGACGGATCGCAGATGTCGAGAGTCCGTCAAAGACAAAATTCCACTGTCTACCTGTCCCCAATCTGGGAATCAGTCATCCGAGACGGTGTTTACGCCCCTCATTAGCGACCCCCCCCTAAGCAATATATAAGCAGGTACAGAGTAAAATACGAGTCAGTTTCAGTCAAGCTCAGAAGAAGCCAACAGGATGATTGGCGAAACGTCAGCAATTTCGACTAAGCAAAAACCGACGCAGGAGGAATCCAGAAGTTTTGTAAAAAGCGTTACAGCAGCCTGCGGAAGTTGCTTTGAAAAATTAATGTTTTCATCTGTTTGGCGTAACGAAACACAATAACACAAAGCGAGACAAAATAACACTCTAAATCAGAATCTGAATACTTACACTTTCATAACGTATTTCTGCATTGCTTTTTCAAAATTGTCATGTCCCATCGCATGCTGTATCATACGAAACAGAGGAGCACCTATTCGTTAAAAGCTGGTTAAAATAGGGGAAGCAACTCATAATATTGATTACCTTTTCTGTATATCAACAATTTTCCAACAGGCTCTGCTAAAGCCTGAGTGTCTTTATCCGCGTCTATGTTTAAGCCCTCATGTATTTCCGGGATCATGTAACTGATGTACTTCCAATCAGAAAGGTCCTGTAATTGATACATCTTGTGAACAGAACTGATAACGCTCAGTCGCTGAGCGAGTGATTAATAAACGGATAATTGAAGAAGATTATCAACGTGCTAGCACTATGCCTTTTTGCAAAGTGAGTACGTTCACTGCGTGACGTGTGACGTGACCATCAGAACTGACAAAAACGAAATTTCATCATGTCCGAAATGATTCGCGGTCGTGGTTAACGAAGGCGACATCTTTAAGTGATACTTTCTGCACACTTAATCCGTCCATATTTGGGTGTTTTAGGGAAGTGAACAGAAAACTTTTTTTTCGAATCTCTGATTCATTAAACACTCTCTCCGCCCGTAGATTTTAGATTTTAGAAACGTTAGAACCGAGCATTGAGTTTTTCAAATTTTTAACAAAACATACACAGAAGATAGACTAAAAGGGGAACAATCAACACCAAATACTATTTATAAAGCTTCTGGATTCCTTCTGCGTCGATTGTTGTTCAGTTCAGTTCAAAACTATCTGTTAAGCTCTGAAGAAGCCAACAGCAGCAAAATCGACGGAACAAGAAGCGACGGAGGAATCCAGAAGTTTTGTAAAAAGTATTACAGTAGCCTGTGGAAGTTTGATTGAAAAAAATAGATAGAGAAACTTACACCAATTTAAAATTGAACATTATTATAATTATAAGGGGTGTTTTTTTTTCGATGTATAGAACTGTAAGTTGCAATAAAACAACGATGGATTATTCGATTGACTTGAATTTTATTTATCCGAAAGATAATCTTGTGGCATTACATTTTAAATATGATTTCTGGCATATGACCGCAACGGCTGGCGCGGATGTAGTCCAATCTGGACGTCCAATTTTTGATGACTTTTTCCACCATTTGTGGCCGTATATCGGCAATAACACGGTGAATGTTGTCTTCCAAATGGTCAAGCGTTTGTGGCTTATCCGAATAGACCAACGACTTTACATTTCACCAAACGTGTCTTTCAATAAATCGATTGTGGCACGAGCTATGTGCTATGTGCTATGTTGCGCCGTCTTGTTGAAACCCATCTCCTGGACGTCATGGTTATTCAATTCAGGAATGAAAGAGTTAGTAATCATAGCTCTATACCGATCACCATTTACTGTAACGTTCTGGCCACCATCGTTTTTGAAGAAGTACCAGCCAATGATTGCACCAGCCTATAAAGCGCAGCAAACAGTCAGTTTTTCCGGATCTAACGGTGTTTCGACATTCACTTGAGGATTAGCTTCGCTCCAAACGCGGCAGTTTTGTTTGTTGACGTAGCCATTCAACCATAAGTGCGCTTCATCGCTAAACAAAATTCGCCTATGAAAATTGGGATCAACATAAATCTCGTTTTGGGCCCATTCGACGAATCCACGCCTTACTTGATGATCATTTGGCTTCAATTCTTGTACGAGTTGGATTTTGTAAGCACGTAAACCAAGTTTCTTCCATAAAGTGAATGGACACAGATGAAATTCCTGTGCTCGATGGCGGATGGACTCATTCGGGTCTTCCTCAATGCTACGCTCTACAGCAGCAATAGCTTCTTCTATAGGCACCGTACGGCGTCTCTGGGGATGCGAGTTATCAATAAGAGTAAACGTGGTGCGAAAACGTTCCATGGTTAATCGAATTAACTGCTCTGATGGACGATTTTGTCGACGATAAAATGGACGTAGTCCGCGATATATATTCCGCACAGAACCATTATTTTCGAAATTAAATTTCACTATTTGCAAGCGTTGTTCACGCGTTAGTCTATTCATGATGAATTGCCAAACCAAACTGACACTTGACAGCTGTTAAATTGGTCGCCATCTTGAACAGTAATGCCAACTTAAAGTTCTATACATCGAAAAAAAACACCCATTAGAAATAGTTATAGTTAATTATAAAACAAAATTAACTTCCTTGATATGACCCGACACAATTGGCAGAGTGGTCACTAAAGAAACTTGGTTATCTAGATACGTTTAATTTTAACTCCGAATATCCTATAATCCAAAAAAAGTCAGTCATTATTGGACTGGGTGACCAACATATTAGGCTTTCCGATCCTACCTTTAGAAAGACGTCCATAAGCATTACGAAGCAGGCACTAAAATTAAATAATTAACCAGAATAAAAAGCAAATGACATATTTAAACAACGCATAAACCTATTTTATAATCAAAATCAACTTAAAAATAATAAACTTGAAACAAAAAAAAAATTACCTCTCTCTCATTGCCCTATATACTTGGCATGTCGGAAAATCTCAACAAGATTTTCATAAACCATAAAATTACTGTCGCACATAAAGGTTTACTTTATGTGCTACAGTAATTTACTTAGTTATTACTTTAGTTATATAAAAAAAAGCCACGTCATTTACGAAATACCATGCAATGATTGCGAGGGTGTATACATTCATATAATCATTTGTGAAGAAAAATAAGACCGCCTTGAAGAGCCATTGCGCTGAAAAGAAACATACTTTTAATTTTGAACAAGTGAAAATTCTAAAATCAGAAAACAATACAAAGAAAATAGAAATCTTTCAAAAAAAAAACAAAAATGCTATAAACGCCAGGACAGACACCAACAATATTAGTAAATTATATTGCAACATCCTTAAATAATAAATTTCCTAATTTAACTCAGTTCATCCAAATATTTCGCATATCGCACCATTTTGTATCGTCGTTCAGTGCGAAACAGGACGCAACCTTGGAAACATTTCGCCATGCGTCGTTCCAGTCGAAAGGGGGAAAAAAGCTATAAAAAACAAAAACAAAAAGTAACAACTTTATTTATTTTAATTGTTTTGTGAACCACTGTTTCCTTGTGTGTGGGTCGTTTTATATACTTTTTATTTTGGATTGCTTCACACAAAGGTGAGTTGTTTAAAAAAAAGCATTTTTCCAACTAATAAAAACTAATGAGGAAAAAAAAATTTTTAGGTACAAGATCAAATTTTGATAAGTGAAATATAATATAATGCCGCAACACTTTAACTCTAACTGTCTAGGTAAGATTTATCCTATATTGTATGACTGATTTGTTTGTTAAATGCAATTTTTAGATTATTTTATTCTGATTAAGGTCACATTTGGACTGATACGTCAAATAAAAAATGTAGTATTTTAATTAACCAGGCATGCATCCCAAGAAACCTAACCTAAACTAATAATAAATAAATAAATAAACTAATATATATATATATATATATATATATATATATATATATATATATATATATATATATATATATATATATATATATATATATATATATATATATATATATATATATATATATATATATATATATATATATATATATATATATATATATATATATATATATATATATATATATATATATATATATATATATATATATATATATATATATATATATATATATATATATATATATATATATATATATATATATATATATATATATATATATATATATATATATATATATATATATATATGTATATTCTCACGTATTGATTCACGGATGGAAAAATGTGATAACACTATATTCCGGGATATCATCCGTTCGCTCGTTGAACTCCGACTGGAATCCTGCAAATCTTGCATCCGACTGGAATCCTGCAGACGTTTCGCCAAAATCTCACTTGGCATCTTCAATGCTCGCGCTCCGAAAACACTTCGAACACACACACGAGTGTTCGAAGTGTTTTCGGAGCGCGAGCATTGAAGATGCCAAGTGAGATTTTGGCGAAACGTCTGCAGGATTCCAGTCGGATGCAAGATTTGCAGGATTCCAGTCGGAGTTCAACGAGCGAACGGATGATATCCCGGAATATAGTGTTATCATATATGTATATATATATATATATATATATATATATATATATATATATATATATATATATATATATATATATATATATGTATATATATATATATATATATATATATATATATGTATATATATATATATATATATATGTATATATATATATATATATATATATATATATATATATATATATATATATATATATATATATATATATATATATATATATATATATATATATATATATATATATATATATATATATATATATATATATATATATATATATTCTCACGTATTGATTCACGGATGGAAAAATGTGATGACACTATATTCCGGGATATCATCCGTTCGCTCGTTGAACTCCGACTGGAATCCTGCATCCGACTGGAATCCTGCAAATCTTGCATCCGACTGGAATCCTGCAGACGTTTCGCCAAAATCTCACTTGGCATCTTCAATGCTCGCGCTCCGAAAACACTTCGAACACTGTTCGAACACTGTTCGAACAGTGTTCGAACAGTGTTCGCCAAAATATCACTTGGCATCTTCAGAGGCTGCGTGTCCATGTCACTCGTACGCACTTAAGTGCGGACACGTACGTACCATTAGTCATCAAGTATTTTCCTAGTTTACTGCAGTTAGATGATACATCACATTCAATTTTTGGTTTTAGAAATAAAGGCTGAAAACAGGGCCCATTTTTCTTATTTAAGTTAAGTAAGTTTTCAAATTTTGAGAAAATTGAAACTGAGCTTCGAATAAAAACAATATTGAATTTTTTTCGACATGTTCATGGCCTCGTTCAGATGTGGTAAACAAGTGTCAAACGGACAAAAACTTTCACCTTTGAAGAAAAGGACATTATTTGTCAAAATTTTTGATTGATGAAAAAATATTATTTTGTATACATAGGGTCCAACAGTTAACAATTTTTTACAATAGTAAAGCAAACTTATTCTAAAGTTTTTAGCAAATTGCTACTTCAGATTATGAGTTCTGAATGAGATATTTTAAACCAAAGAAGAAAAAAAATATTGTCATCAAAGCTTAATGAAAACAATTAGAGCCAATTTTGAAATATCATTTTGCTAAAAACTTTTAAATAAGGTTACTTTACTCTTATAAAAAAATGAGTTGTAAGAAAATGAATGGAATGAATGACATTTTCTTT